GGATTATTCCAATATCGAGATCTGATTTGATTATTAGTATTATTTCGTGGAGGATAGTTTGTTTTTGATGAATGTGTATAATTATAATTATGTTCCGCAAAATTGTTTCTTGTGAACGTTCTGCGTGTTTTTGACGGTATTGTCATGGGTCTATATGTTGGGTAATCCATTTGTGAATATTTTGGAGCAACCGAAGGTTTAACGGTTAATTGTAGGGTTACATGTGCTAGTGAAGTGTTTGTATTTCTTGGTGTTGTTAAATTTGGACGTATCGGTGAAATACTTTGTTGTGTAGTTGTTGTTGTTTGGACGATTTCTTCATTTATGAAGTGTGATGGTGTCTGAATATCTTGTTGAGTGAGATTCCTAGTTCCATTAAGGTTTTCATTGTGTATGACGGTCGAATTTAAACTGTTATTTCGCGTATCAGGTAAAAATGTATTGTAGTTCAATGGTGTTGCGTCAATGGTTAATGGTACTACTCTTACATAATCTCTTGTATAAGATATTGTACTTATTGCTTGACTTGAGATTGATTGTGGGAAATTTATGAATGCATAATGAGACCATTCGGGGTCCCAAATGTAGTCTGACTGTTCTGTGATGGCGGTATCATCGTTTGAATTTTGAGGTCTAAAATTTTTTCTTGCTTGTGAAATTAAATCTATATTATGTGTGAAATAATCTATTATAAACCATGCCAAAATTTTTTGTAAGTCATGTTTTGTATGTTGTGAAACTTCATCTTTAGTGAAATTTTCTTTCATTATATGTAGGAAAGTTGAAAATAGTGTGATTTTATGTCGTACCCTTATATGTTTAGATGTCTCTGTCGGTGAGACATTTGGGATTGGGATTTCGTTTTCTAATATTGAGATATAACTATATATTATTGCAAAAACTTCATTAGTGAATATGGAGTTTGCTCTTTGTGAGTTATGATATTGTATGCTTTTTATATATTCTAAGAATACTTTTGAAAATTCTAAATCAAGATCGTCTGTTTGAATTACATATTTGCGGTGATTCGGGTTTGGTGAGGTGAATTCTATGGTGTAGATTCCGTAGTGTTGTGTCAAATTACATATATCTTTCAGATAGTGATCAATAATTTGTCTTTTGATTTTTAAATCTGGGAACTCTGTTTTACATGGGCTGATTCCGGGTTCAAACAAATTTAGGAGTAAATTCTTGCAAAATATATGCTGTCCTCTATCATTGGTTGCATCTACGAGGAAGGGGAAGATATCGTCATCATCTGGACTATCTTCACTTGGAGTGTGTGTTTGGCTCATTTTTTCGTGTAATGACTGTTAATAGGTAATTATCGATGTGTCTAATTGGTTGATTCCAGTTATATAAGTGTACTGGTTTGTGTTTATATTGCTTTTTTATTCGTCTTTTTCCTCTTTTTGATGAATTTGAAGTTGTTTCTGAGTCGGAAAAATATAGTTGATCGTGAATGGGACAATTTTTATCAATTGATTCTTTTAATTTTTAAAGTTCGTCTAAATTGCTGGCTTCTGATTCTGAAAATGCGTTTCTGTTTTTGGAAAATCTTTTTCGTGTGATTTGTCTTTGTTTGTTTATTATTTTTCTTTTTAGTGTTTGTCGTTTTGTTCTAATATATCCAACTGTTTGTGTATGAGGTGTGATTACAAGATCGTATTTTTTGTTATCTATTTCACAGTTGTGTAAAACCATTGTTTGTTTGTTTCCTAGATTTTTAAATGACATAAGGTTTAGGATGACGGATGCAAAAAGTTGTTAGATGATTTCTCTTTTCTTAACCTGTTAGTCCTTACGATTTTTTGGTTAGCTTAACCTGGGTCTATTTTTTCAGGGTTGGAGAGAAAAGTATATCGATTCCGAAGAATGATTTATTACTTTCTCGTGGCTAGTATAAGCTAAGGTGTTAACTTACTTAATCTTACTTAGGGGTAGTGATTGTGTTCAAGGGTTGGAGAATAGTAAATCGATCCACAAGGTTCAGGTATAATTAGAACGCGAGTAGTTCGTTAGATACTATTTTGAACTTACTAAGTCTAAGATTTATCCTGGGTCTTGATAAGAGGAGGGTTCAAGTGAAGGATGAATAACCGAAGTTCTTCACTGTTTATCCTAATTTGAATGGTTAGTTTTGTTGAAAAATTTCTATTAGTCTTGGGTTTTTAGAAAGGGTTGGATAGTGAATCGACGTTTGAGGTCGTTAGACACTAGCTAAGTGGGTGGGGGAGAACAAATTTGTTCTGTTTGATCCAAGGATAGGCCTTGATGATCAAGTTTTAAAATTTAATTAGATCGAAAATGAATTAAGATCCAAGGATAAGCCTTGATGATCTGATTTTAAAATTAAGTGAATTTAAGTTTAAAATGGTTTAAATTTGTTTAAGAAAAAGATTTAGTGTTTTAATGATATTAGTGAGCTTATGATTGCTGTTATGTGTTAGGTGATGAAGCTGGGACAATTAGATGATTTTATGATTACCAACAGTTTATTGTCATGCTACTAATTTTTGTTTTGAATTTCAATAAATATTTTCCAAACATGTTTTATATAATACTGCAGAATTTTGAGAAAACGATCTGAGATCTTTTTATCAATCGTTATTGTATATTAATAGTTTTGTTTAGCGCCTGAGATGATTATGAAGATTGACTTCAAAGTTTTATGTTTGCAAATGAAAATCTAAATTCATTGCTAATAAAATTCTAAATATAAAAGTTTGTGTTGGCTTTTGCCGTACTATCATATAACTATTTGGTAAGTTTCTATTTTGTCGTATGTCGTCTCTGGTTCGAGGTCTTCTTGCAATTCCGGGTAGTTCTGTTATCGTTCGGAATATTGGCTCTGATCTATTGAGTCGTAGAGACATTTCGATTAAATTATCGTCGTATAACATTTTTTTAAAAAATGTTTTGTCTAAATTCTAATCTATTTTTGGTTAATTCTAAGCTATTAAGGTCTTGTTCGAGACTTATGGTCGCACCAGATGAGTTATAACCGATATGGTTAACTCATAGAGTAATTTCGGATAGGGTACACCGTCTGCTCGTCACGCTATCTTATTTTCGGCCGGATAGATTCGTGCAACTTCTTAGTCTAATACCGATCCTAATCTTACTCTTATACTATCTAGTCTCAGGTTGTTTAACTAGTCTCTGCTAGGCTCAATAGATCTAGGGTATACTGGTTTATTGCGGCTGCTGAAGTTCTCTTGGAGAGTCAACTAATTTCTAAGTTAAATTCAAATCTCTCTGGTGCTGAAATTACAAGTAATTTCAGCACTTACAAATAAGTGGGTTGTTAGTTTGATGGATCATGATTGGTTAATATTGAATACTTTACAGTGGTAAAATATCTAATTTATCCAATCATAAAATGTAGTTTAGATCAGGTTCCAGAAGAAACAAAAAATGTATCTATATTATCGATTCATTCAACTAGTAAAATTTTCGTTTCACAGGAAAGTTTAAGTCTTCGAGTGAGCCAATAGTGAGTCTAGTCTCCATAAAAAACTTCAATGACATTTCAAAGTTCAATATTGTAAAAAACCGCCGCAATCAATGTTTTTTTTTTATTGTAACAATAATGTAACATTGTTTATTTATTTTTTTTTTCAGAAAAATTTCAAACCAAAATAAAAACAATAAATGAAAGTCTTCAATCAAATAAGCATTTGCCCTATTTTTTATAATCTTTGATGAAAACTTTGTCAACATATTGAGAAAAAGCAATTATTGATTGACTAAAAAGTGACCGAATTAGCCACTTTTTGAGCCAAAATTTTGGCTCGAAAGGCACACTTTGATGTCAAATATTAGCTCGAAAAACTAGTTCTGGCAAAACTATGACAAGCTTACTTTCTGATCGTTTTTCGTTATTGTCACCGCAAAAAAGGGAAAATGAAAAGCACAATTGAACTTTGAAGTTTGAGTTTTCCGATTGTCTTGGTTTTGTTTGGTTATTTTAACTCAGCCCAGTAACATTGAATATGGGAACCAATTAGCCGTTGAAACTCTGATGCACGGGTGGGACAGCAACCAACAAAAATTTCTAAACTGGTTCGAAAACGTATATACAAATATACCTAATCGTTTTTGCTTTCGGTACATAAACAATCTATTTTGTATCTAATTTTAATGAACTAACAGTTTCTAGATAAATCTAATTGGCTTGCAGTTAGTCATTTCCTGAAGCTAACAAGTGCTAAGTTGCATAAGTTTCTGAATCAAATGCCTCAATTGCTTTTTTCTGACCAAAGGGGAAGTTTTTGACTACAGTTCAGATTTAAATAAACTAAGTCCTGGCATTAACCTAATATTTCTGACTAAAACTTTAAGATACCCTGCCAGAAAAAGAATCTTAGGTAAAAAAAACAATAGAAAAAAAACGTTTCATTCACTGTCAGGGACACAAAATTGACCAATCGCGTATAATACCGAAGGCCCAATAGGGCACAAAAACTGCACAAACATAATTTTTTTGTCTTTTTTGCCGACACTTTTTTGTCGACATTTTTATCGACATTTTTTTTAGGTCGACCAAAATGTTTTTCGGAGCTCTCTCATATCACTAAAAAACCCCTGTTTAGGCCAAAATATCTGCGCCGCATGCAAAATTTTGAAAAAAGGCGTTTTTAGGCACTTGTTGGAAAATTTTCACCAAAAATTGTGTTTTTTGGAGTACGCTCCCCCTAAAAATAAAGCTATTTTGGCGCCAAAAGCGCCTTTAGAAAAATTCTAGTATCCGTCAACGAAAAATTGATGTCTCAAAATAGTACAAAGGGGACCCTTTGGGTCGGCAGGTGGTCGAATACTTGAAGAGAGAAAGCGTCAACCGCCCCTCCTCCGCCCCCTCACTAAATCCGCCCCTGAACTGCAGTATCCGGACCCGCAAAAAGTGGCCCATGAGATGAGGGTTGAATGTTTTGAACGCAAGATTGCCACGCTTTTTTATCGATACAACCTGAAGAATGTTTTTAAAGAAATGAAATTACTTTTCGTCCTACAAGTACAAAAAGGTACGAGTGTGCAAATTGTATATAGTATCCAGGATGGAACCCATGCCACATAGCAGAGAAAAGAAAGGTGATTGCAGCTGCTGCTGATTTGTTTTGGATTCTGGAGTAGCAAATGAACCGCAGCCACTTGCTTGTCATATTGTTCCATGTGTCCCACAATTCTTTCCAGTTGCTACAACTCTGAAACAAGTTGAATTATAGCTCAAAATTACTTCAAATATTCTTTTATTGTTCCCCTACTTTAATTGCCACTAATTTGATTTTAGGGTTGACCTTCTTTCGCCAAAAATGCTAGTCATAAGATTTCACACGTGAGGAGGAGAAGATAAAAGTTTTAAAACTTAGGATATAAATTCATCATGCGATACATAAGTAATAAAACTATTGATAACGCGGTACTCACTTCAGGTCTTTTTACTTATTCCGCGCAAAAATCAATATTTCAACATCAAAAACTGAAACTATTTTGCTTCAATTTGACTGGCTACAATTAAAACGATCGTATTTTCTATTAACAAAACGAATCAGTGCGATGAGTGTTTTGCTCTCTGTATTTATACATTGAATACAACAAAATGGCAAAATTTAGAAACTTCGGCGGAATAAGTAAAAAGACCCCTCACTTCAACTCGGGTCAGCTCTCCATTTCTCACTAGCTCCCATTGCTCCTTTCCATCTTCAGTCCAGCCAGAGAAGCCAAAACCAGCGGCATAGTAGATACTCTGTCCTAATTTCCACGCGAAGTAGAATCGCAGTCTAAACATGAAGCCACAGGGCACACAGTATGCCAGTTTGAAGAGGAAGGAAAATCTCTCGACGAAGCGGTCATCTGAAAAAAAAGTTAAACAGAGTTAAGAGTCAATAAGAGTTTAAGAGTTTAAGAAGTGTCTCAGGATTATTACTTATAATTGAAATATGGATTCGAAGTAAATAATTAGATTTTTTGTACAGTATGAAGAAGTTCCAATAAATGGTTCGAGCGAAGGCCTGTCGCTTCCCTTTATCTAATAACTCGATAAAGAGGACAATTTATATACCATCGTCCAAATTTGTGATGCAACTAACATAAAACTATGGTCATGAAATGATTAAAAGTAGTTAAAAGATGCAAATTTTGTACAGCTAGAAAGAAACCAACCGGTTATGAAATCTTACTGTCAAAATGAGTACCATGAATATTACTGATAGTGACTAGCATAAAAAACATTCGATACAGAAACTTAAAAAAAACGTGAAAAGGCGTTTTGAATAATTTTTCAAATACCTAAAACTGTAAACATTAACACGGCTTAAAGTATAATTGCTCAAATAGTAGATCATAGTGCGGTTCTCAGTAAAAACGTTTAAAACTCAGCAAAATCAAAAAACAATTATTTCATTTTAACAGAATCATAACAATCTTTTTAGACTTGAAAACATCCTAAGTTATTTCTACAAAAATGCTGAGCAAATCAGTATGCATTGTCTAATATAGAAGCAATGTTTTTAACTTTTTCAACAGTAACATCCCGGGTTGAGCGATGCAAAAGTGAAAAAAAAAACAGCGATCGCCACTGATGAAAAATCGCGATCGGATGTTCATTGCCTCAATAGCAAATTTTAAGGATAGATTATCGCTATTTTGGCTAATTTTCAGCGATAAAACTAAGATAAAAAAATCTCTCAAAATGAACGAAAATATTGATCTACCGGTTTTCGATCCCGCAAGCATCAGTTTATTGGACATAAATGTTACCTCTGCTCCACAAACCCTTACATATCAGTAAGTTATAGGGTTTATCTCTCATTTGAAACCTACTAGAACTTCTTAAGTTTTAGCGCTGATTTTTAACGGAATCATTACTGAAATAGTTCTGAAGTATTACAGGTTTAGTTATGCAAAAAACTCTGAATTATACATGAATCAGTGCTGGAAAATAGCAATCACTGGGATACTAAAAAAAAACAAAAAAAACGATAATTAACGAAGGGACTTCAACCAGGGATAGGTCCAATATGCACAACTTGAGCTATCTATTATACAAACTTTCAAAAGTGTGGTGTAGTGTCAAGTTAGAAAACTTAAAAAATATTCTTTTTGCAAAAAAAACCTGTGAGATTTTATATTCTTCTTTGAAATCTGCGCAAAATTTTGCAGGTAATGCAAAAAACTAATTAACTAGGCGTAGACGTAACGTGTGGACAGCTTAGGAGAGAAAATAAATAGGTAAATTTTGTGTTGGAACCAAACTTTGCTGTTCAAGTTTTTTGCGGATCTATGCAGATTTTCTTAAAAAATCAGCAGTGTCCGGTCGCTGATTTGTTATTTTTACAGTATTCCACACTGATCTCTGATTTTGTCTCTGCTCACAATTGAAGCGAGTGCCACTGTATAAAGTCGGAGAAAAAACTGGAACTGTTTGAAAATATTACTAAAACAATGTGATTTGTCCTAAAAACAACTCACTGGTTTTCTTACTTTAGATCCATTCAAAGAAGGAACACGTTTTGGAAAATTGTTATTTGAACAAAAAAAGCAAGATTGAAAGCTTCAAAAACTTTAAACTTCAGCAAAAAGTTTTTGGAAACCATTTTAAATCAGTCATAAGTATTAATGATTTTTCTAACAAAATGAAAATTGAAACTACAATTCCAGTGCCGGTAAAAATCTAATTGAAATAAAATTCTAGGTTCTTCAGCTGGATTGTTCAGCTAGTAGAATATCAACACTGTTTTAGTAACTTAATAGTGAATAAAGATAAGTCACCTTAGCTCTGATCAGGGATGAAATCAGAGAAAAAAATTGCATTATTTTTCCAGTTTTTATTCAAGATAGGCTCAATGCTATTTTCAGACGGGGACCGACCTTTTACCAGGCGGACTTTTACCAGAAAAAATTAACATGGACCTTTTACTAGACTCGATAAACAAATTTGAGTGACAGATGTAATGACGCCGTTTACTCTGGTTAAGGACAAGGATTTCACCGGTGGCGTTCCATAAGGTGGAGGCACCGAATGCTTGAAATTTATTTTGGCTTTTTTTAGCCAATCAGAATTGAGTATTTAAAAATCTCAGGCAAATCGCAAAAATCTCAAAGTAAACAAATAATTCTAGGTCATTAGTGTTCAAATTGCCCGATTAAATAAAAAGCAGATGCATAAAAATAGTGCCGGATCGAAGGCGGATTTAATAACTCAAAGATACCGATTTAGGAAAAATAAAAAAAAATTTTTGTATCTGCACCTATTATATATGCATCTATTATATTCATTATTTTATCATTTTCTGTTCATATTGACTTCAATTTTGTGAGAAGGGCATTAAGCCAATAGGAACGCTTAGCGTTTTTGATTGGTTGAACTTTTTCTATATTCGGTCCCTCCAGTATGAGAACCCTCCTCTCAGCGAAGTTTTGTTTGTTCTGGTAGGTTCCTTTTCAAATCTTCCACAAAACTTAGCTTATCTCAAATGAATTGTTGCGTTGTGGTCTGGTAAAATATCGGTCTCGTAAAAAGCCGGTCTGGTAAACGAATTCTCTTCATTGCAGAGTTAAGCGAATTTTTTATTGGCTAAAAAATTGCATAAAATGTGTCTTCTAGACAGATTCGAATCATCTATTTGTTGCTGCCTAACCGCAATACAAATCTCTTCATACCTTATGCTCCCGTCTTTTTAACATTAAGAAGCGCACGGTAATAACACAAGCTAAAATAGAAGATAAAAGCAGCATTTCTAAAGTTTTCTCTATTTTATTGTTACATCATTAATTATAAGTTAACTTCCTTGGATCTATGGACATAGATGGACTACATTTTGGGCTCACTTTTTTTAATTTGGTGATTCCACTTTTTTATATGTAAAATTTTAATATAATTTTGAATAGTTGTGCAACGGTTTTGAAAAGTTGTGCGACGTAAATTCAAATGTTCTCGCTTAGAATCAAAGCTTTCAGAGCGATTTCATTTTGTAGCTATTCCTTGTCTGACCATGTTTGAAACATTCGTTTTTTTTTAAGATCCAAAACTCACGATGGTACATCAAAACTATTATAATGAGACTAATTTCATGCCTGTTAAAATGTCGTTGAAATAACAAGACGAGTCAATATTTGAGAGAAACAAAACTTAAGCTCTGTTTCATCGGTTAGGGCCAAAAAAGCAAACTTTTTAGCAAGCAACAGCTTTGCCTGAGAAATTTGGTGCCAAATGCAACAAAATTCGACATAAACTAAAAAGATTTTGGTACACAGAAATGAAGAACACAATATAATCGAAATATTGCTTGCCTGACATAAACTGGTACGAAAAGTAAGGCATCAGTATCCGCAGCATGTATCCATACGCCAAAGCCACAGGCAAGTTAGTGAGGACCATCCACTGAAAAGCAAGGATTAAATTGAGGTACATAACTTCTTTGAAAAATTCTATCCAGCTGCATTTCATCGAGTTTTGAATTTAAGGGGACTCGAAAATTCAGAAAAATAAGTTTCTCGTCCCCCCATAAAAACCTCCTCTTTCAAAACCCCCTTTCATAAATTCAACCTCCTTGTGAATTTTGAAATGTTTTCAAGCAAACTGTGCATAATTACACGAAATATGATTACCTAGTCTGGAGTAGCAGCAGAGCAGTAGTTTATTTTGCGGTTGTATAATGTCATCTTCATATTTGAAGACTAACGTATAGTTCTAGTTTAGTTAAAATTTTTCTAAAGGCGCCTTTGGCGCCAATATATACTATATTTGAGGAGCCGCGCGCCAAAAAAAACACGATTTTTTTGTCAAAATTTTTCAAAAAGTGTCCAAAATCGGCTTTTTTGACTGTTTTTTCAAAAATTTGCCTGCGGCGCAGAAAGTTTTGCCAAAATAGGGGCAAAACAGTGCTTTGGGAGAGCTCGAAAAATCAATTTGGTCGACCTGAAAAAAAAAAGGTCGTCAAAATTTTCGTTTTTTTTCGAAAATCCGCCCCCCCCCCCCCTCGAGAAAATCCTAGATCCGCCCCCTGACCTCCCCCCCCTCAGGGATTCGACCCCCTGCCGACCCAAAGGGTCCCCTTTTTGAACTGTTTTCAGGTATCCAATTTTGGCTGACGGACACAAAAAATTTCCTGAGGGCACCTTTGGCCCCAATATATACTTATTTTAAAGGGGGAGCGCGCGCCAAAAAAACGCAATTTTTTGCTAAATTTTTTCCAAAAAGTACCTAAAAACTTCTTTTTGGCCTGTTTTTTTTCAAAGTTTTGCCTGCGGCGCAGAAATTTTGCCCAAAACGGACTTTTTAGTGCTTTTAGACCCAAGAAAATGTCGACATAATTTTGAAAAAGCTTTTGTTAATTCTAAGTTAAATACTGCCCATTTGCCTATTTGCTTCAAAAATAGCTTATCAGAAACTTTACAGTACTGGTGATACATTTTTCAACACTTTCGACAAAAACATTTTGTGTAATGAAAACTGTTTTGCCGTATTTTCTGTCGACCAACTCTAGAGTTCTAAGCAAAATTGTTGATGATTTCTCCTTTGGGGGGGCTGGGGGATATTGGGTTTTGTTCACGTTTGGAATTTATTGTTTTATCAATAAATAAGCCCAGAAATTCACACCAACAAAGCCAAAACAGTCATTGAAAACAGTGGTCAAAAGTCGGTGTGTTTATAGAGTCCAAATATTTTTCATTTGCGAATTGAATCATACTTCTGAAATTTAGCATGTATTAAATAGTAATAACAAGGTTTTAAACAAAAATCAAATCTTCATTACTATTAGGAGGTTGCTTCTGCTATGCTTCAAACGCTTATAAGTTAACGAGAAACACTTTTGTAAAAAAAAATTTAAAAAAATCTGTTGAATAATAAATAGACATTAAATATATTGACTAAAAATTAATCAATGTATCTAATATCTATTTATTATTCAACGAAAAATTAATTTTTAACAAAATTTTTGTTTTTATAGAATATTTCTTTTAACAAATTATTTGTTATAATAGAATTTTGACTGAAAAAATTTTTTGTTTTAACAATTTAACTAATTACTGTATTGACATTACAAATGTTTGCCTCTTGAACACTTTCTTCCAAAGTTACCTTTAAAACTTATCATGAAGTGCTTCAACAACTGGCAGCAGTTTTGTTTTAACAATTATGAAAGGCGGGGTAATTCTGGCTTAGGAAAACATTGGAAACAGACCGTTTCTTTCATATTTAAAATACGCTCGCGATAGTTTTTGTAATAGAAAAAACATTACACTGAAGAAACTTTACTCACATTTGGCGATGGGTACTTTTCTTCCTGAAGATCCAGTTTTTTTGACTAAAAAATGAAAGAAAACATTGTGAAAGAAAATTTTGAAGAAAATTTGCTTCTCCGAAATTTCTCAATCTAGTGAAATAGTACATCTAACAAAGGAATGCGACAAAATGAAACTATTATCCTGTTTTACGTACGAAGTTCCAACTATTTTGAAAAAAAAATCTAAGCATGAAAACAAGGCTGCTCTTATATCGGGGCAAAGCCCTGAAAATTTCATCTGCCCTTTAATGGGTTTCCAATAGTTTCCGATCTGATATAATGTTTGGTTTTAATACTGATAAAATGTTCAATAAGAAATGTGTTGTTCATATTTTTTAGCCCCCCTCCCCCTCACACACACGCCAGATATTGTGATGAAATTTTTTTTGCGGAAGCTAGCGTAATGATAAACCAAGTAGTTTGCCTCAATTCAATTTGAAATGAATCAATTCGCTGCTTACAATTTAATCGGACGAAAAAAATCGCGTTCGTTTTATCCTTACTTGGCCAAATTTACTCTATTCACAACCCGTAATTTAACGAAAAATGGTTGTCAGTGAAATATTTTTCATTTTTGAGATCAGAACTGAAGATTTACCGTTGCCATTGGTTTTCTGAAAGGCACCAAGTGTTTTCCTTTCATGAACTTCTCGTATTCTTTGTAGGAGTATCCTGGTATTATTTGGAAGCCGAGGAACCCCAAAAGAAAACTGCTGTATGCAAGAAACGAAGGAAGCTCATTCATTCTCGATTTCTTGTGGCTTTCGTCGGAGAGCTCGGATTCTGGAAGCTGACCTTGAAAAAAATGACTATTAAGACGAATTTGCCGCCAAAAAAATGTGTCGTCAAAATCAGGTTTGTCGTAAAAAACAGTCGCCGCGGAATGAACAATCACAGCGTTTGTTGAAATGAATTAACCTCGAATTTACAGTTTTTGTGAATGTGTAATGAATGTGTAAGGTCTTTTTTTAAGATTTCCCACTCAACTTTTTGAACAATTGAAATTAACTTTTTTACAGCCAATTTAACGTTCTCGTTCGATTAGTTGGAAAAGGAGCTATATTTTTGCAATCTTCACAATAGTAGTCAAATTTTTTAAGCGTTTTTTGAGAAAAAGCCTTATCAAATTGGTCAAAAATGGCTGATATTGTAGAGTAGAAACTCCAATAATTTTGGTTAAATTATTTCAGTTTTCAGAGATACTCCATATGCATGCAAGAGCAAATTTTTTTTTACAAAATTAATCAAAAAAGCTAACAGAAACAGAGTATTGATGTGTGCCTCTGGTATTCCTCAAGAAGTGTTCTACTCATAAATTGACCAGAACGGGCAAAAAAGTCCGATTTTAACGCAAATTAAGACAATCAAACAAAAACAATTGTCAAAAAAATCAAAACATGGGTCAAACATGGTCCAATCATAGTCTGTTTAGAAATAATTCAAGCCTACGTTTATTTAGTTTCGCTTCACTTACCGTCGCTGAGGCTCCACGCTAGATAAGTCATTTTCTGAGTCCATATCATCAGAAGAACCGAGCAGTCCATGATATCTTCGCCATAATTCAAGGTCAGCCTGTAGATGTGATGAACACTGAGGTAGGCCATAGCAATGGCAGCGGTGGTTCTGCCAACAACAGCAACAAAAGACAAGTATCAGTTGTTTTCAAGATCAAGTTCCTGATCAAAAACGGGTTTTCTTTCAATTCAGCTAATAATTATTCTATCGAAAAAATTTTGCTGCATTAATTTTTGGTTAAAATTAAACTAAATGATGTTTTCTGGGATTCGGGAATTTGAATCAGAAAAAGCACAAAATCTTCTAAATCCTCCCCAAAAGTGCAGTTTTTCTTGAATTCGCCTGTAGTATATTCTTCATAAAGTTCTGCTACAACTTAGAAAATCAAATTAATTGACATTAAAGTTCTTTGGAAATCTGCTTCAATCCAGTTTTAGTTTTGCACTTAAATTTAGGAAGGAGTTTTGTTTTGCACTTAAAATTAGGAAGGAGTTTTGTTTTGCACTTAAAATTAGGAAGAAGTTTTGTCTTCAGATGTGTTTTTATTTCCTACCTATTGGTGATCTTGCAAATTCAAGTGTCACCAAAAAAACGTCAAAGACAGTTGGACGTTTTAACAAAGGCTTTTCAATTCAACTGCCCTTGATTAGTTGTTCAGAAAAACTAAAACGGTTTTATGTATCGAAAGAAATTGTTGGAAAATTTGCCTAGTAGAAGTTTGAGTGAAGATTCCGCTTTTTGTTTACCAAGATATCATATCAACATTTATATGTTCACACGATATCCTACAAAAAAAACGACCACAGGTTCTGCTGTTTTCAACAGTAAAAAAAGCTACAATTCGTTTGAGTTTGCTTGTTTTGCTGAAAATTCACTCAAAAAAAAATAATTAAAAATTAGCTTTGCTACCTAAAATCTTTTTGTGGTTCTCCGAAATGCTTTCTTTTTTTTCAGAAATTTATGATAAACATCGCAAACATCTAGCTTCGCCCATTTCGTTTTCTCCCTCATTTTTGAGTCAAGGTCCCTATCCAACCCTTAGCAAATTTGACTTTCACAACTGATGAAAAAATCTTTAAGATAGGTTCCAAACAACGCGCAAAAAAAACAATTTCAACTTTATTCAAGGAAAAAAACAAACTCAAACATATACTCGTTACATAATTTGAAACAAATAATGGAAGATTATCAGGTCTTGCAACCTTTTTCTAATCCCCTTAAAGAAAGTAAAAACTCTCAGTGATCACAACGATATATTGAGAACAGACACACAAAAGAATTGTTCTAACATTTTGACGTGCACAAAAAAAATAAAATTTTGAATAATTATTATTTATTAAAAAGAAATAAAGTGAAAGGACAAAAAAATATTTAAAAAAAATTTTCCGCTGAAAAATAAAAAAAAATGTAACCTTTTAAGCAACATATAAGCTATAGCTTAACTATTTACCTAAAAAAAAAAATCAAAATTTCCAGAAAGAACACACTTATTCGGTGTTTCAAGTACTTCAACGAGTGTTTTGGTTTTGTATTTTTCTGATTTGAAAATCTACATGTTTTTTCTTCACTAATAGATGTTTGTAGTTCAGTTTTGATTAATGATGACTTAATGCTTCTAAAAGGATAATAAGCTGTTTCAGATGATTCTTTTTGGTTGTTGGTTACTTCCGCTCACACAGTGGCTCATACACAGTGTCAATTTTTCTATGATTCGCACATCCACTCCATAGAAAGCGCTGCTAAGAAGTCTCGTATAGAATTATTCCTTAGTAGAAACAGGCCTAACATAACTGTTGTAAGCTTCAAGTAATTGTTTCCGTATTAATTTTTTTCTCAGCTTAAACAGAGTCGCAGCTCTTTGGCTAACATTTTCTTAATAAATAGAGCTTGCACTTTGAAATTTATTAACAATCGCTAACCCAGCCAAAACAGGTGAACGAAAAAATTTGATCTCGATACTGAGTGCGATATTTGTGCAATGTTTTCTGTTATAATAGTGTCCTCGGCAAACAAATTTTTTGCGAGTTTTTGATTTGATATGAAACAACTTTTATATAAATGCGGAAAATTATGGGTTCGAGGACAGAACCTTGTCTCTCCAAATGATAAAGTTTTCAGATTTGATTTTTTGTTGCAGAAAACACAGTGTAAACTTAAAAAGACTGTTCGATGAGCTCTCGCTCAGCCATGTTTCAGAAAGCGCTTTAAAGTCCGGTTGTGTTACACTTTTGAGCTTTTTTCTAAATATGAGAAATGTTGTGTGATTCATCTCATATTCTGTAACCAAATCTTTGTTTGATTTTTTTTATACAAACGATTAAGTGTGTTTTTTTTTCTAATGAACCTACCAGTTTCTCAAAACTAATTGAACTCTGAGTACGCATTTTTCAAATACTTATGTTTTAGCTAAAATCAGCTTAACTTGTTTTTATAGAGAAACAAAATTTAACAATGTTACTTTAACTGTGTCTCTTGTTATAAACCTGGCTCGCTGAGGAAAATCTCGAAACAATCAAGCCGTTAGTTTGGACTTCCCATCAAAGACGTAGCAAAACTGGCGAGTCAATCCGGCTCATTATTGATTCCAATCTGAAGAAACCATGCATAATAATAAGTCCAAATAGCCACTAAACAACATCTAGTAAATTTGGATTATAAGTTTACTATGTGTGAAATTTTATATACCAATGAAGTTGACAAGGAGAGAAGGAAAAGGTTTGCAAAAATCAAAATTCAACTCTAATTGCAATCAAATTCAACTACTTGTTTTCACTGGTTTAATTAAAAATAAGTACTAACCGGCCAAGTGAGTTTGATCTGATATAAACTTTGAGAAGAGGATAAGAGACGATTGTCGGTATCACAATGTTCAATGCACTCCTAGAACACCCAGCAAATTGTCTCAATTTTTTTTCATGATCGTAGTAATTTTAATGTAGCCGTAAAGTTGAAGTGAAAAATAGTTTCAGTAAAAATTTTGAGTAGCTCACAAAGTTTACAAAAGACATGATTTTGAGCTACAAATAACAAACTTGACAGAAGCGCTCATAAAAAGTATGAAATTTAACACTTTCTGCACGTTGTTGTTTTTAGATGCATCCAAAGCCCAACATTTTTTGTACCAACTTTTTCTTAAAGCGACTAAAATTATTTTACTTACCATCGCAAACTGATTACAGAGAAGAGAAGGCCGATCGTCAAACAGTATAAATGCCGTACGTTCTCGCCAACTCTTGGTGCTGTGAGTATCCATTGCAACACAAAAGCAAGGGGAATAGCCGAAAAACTAACCAGAAAGAATAAGGATTGATCTAGGGCAAGTGGGATTAAGTGGACAGCATACGCGTCAAATGCCTCAAAAACGCTCGAAAACCAATGTAAACTAACTTGAACATTCTCCATGGCCATTTTGGAATCGTGAAAGTTTCTTTATAAAATTGATTGGTACGCGTTTTTTTCTTGAATAATTCAAAACATATGAAAACGAAGAAGCCAGAGGCTTTTAATGTTTTACAGTATCATGTAAGTAACATAAGTAATTATTTTGATTGAAAATGAAGAACTTATTAGTTTTTATTATAAAGTAAGTCAGTAAGTACTTTCATGACTTTTATGCGTATAGCTGATATTCAATGGACAAGAATTAGAAACCATGATCATGGCTGTCCAGATCAACGTTGCTTTAGACTGTCATGCTCATAGCTAGCCAATTAACTCCAGTCAATTCTATCTATGCTTAAAACTCTTGATTGCATTTTTGTTTGTTTTAATTATACTGCTAATTTTATTGTATCATTTGTTCAAGTTTATATTGTAATACTGCTTTTTGAAACTTTTTTTGTACATTTGGATTGAAGTTGGTACAGTACAGTAGATGTTCAATTATGCTGGTAAAGCTGCGGGTACTAAGAAAGAAATACACTACTCAGGTGCTCCAGCACTATTCCAGAGCGAAATTTCCAGATATTCATGTTTGGCCCCTGGGTTTAGGTATTTGAGTTATGTTTCGACCGACTTAACCTAAGCTAGCTATGTTCTCATCCACTCGGCCGAAGGAAAATGTGTTCAACTGTGTTCGACCCAAACGAGCTATGTATCGACCGAATCGACCGAAGCTGGCTATATTTCGGACGAATCGGTCAAACAAAATGTGTTCGACTGTTTTAGACACAAACCTGCTGTTTCGACTGCCTCGACAGGAAAATTTTTACCACGTTTTTCAAGCTTTTTGATGCGAGGTTTTGTAAATCAATCCTCATTTCTAAAAAAAAATCAACAAAAATTTGGAGTGAAAGGTTTCTTCTAGCTCTTACCGATTAGGTTCTAAATAAAGCTTTATCTTATGACTATACTATTTTAGCCTCAGTACTCATAGTCAGGGGCGGATCTAGGATTTTCTCGAGGGGGGGGGCGGACTTTCAAAAAAATAAATTCTAAAATTTTTAGGTCGACCAAATTGATTTTTCGAGCTCTCCCAAAGCACTGTTTTGCCCCTATTTTAGCCCCAAATTTTCTGTAACAATTTAAAATTTAGAAATTCATTTTTTACTAATACTTTGGTGCTATAAATGATGTATAAAAAAGTTTTCCTTAAAAAAAATAAAGTATTTTTTGGGGTATGTTTAGTTTCTTTAAAGCTTTTGTTTTTTCTAAAGTTTATTTGGCTCAAAGTTTCTCGGTATGTGAAAAACCAATTAATGCAAAATGTCTTTGCATTATAATTTTTTCTAGCTGCTGTTAATGATTCAGAAAGCAGTTAGTAAAAAGAACAAAAACAAAAAATTAAAAATTTTTGGGTCAAATTACAAGTGTGCTTTGAAAGATTCAAATGAAAAAAGCGCTTCGTATACAGCTGTAAAAAAATGAAAGCTAATAATCCCAGAACGTCTATACTTATTTTAGCAGAGGATTGCACCAAAGAAAATTAAAGGATGGGATCGAGACCCCTACAGTCGACGAGTTAAATATTTTGACATCATAGCCTATATTTTGACCTTACTTTAAATAACGGAAAATTCTGAATTCAAATTTTACTTTGGAATTGCGTGATTAAGAAAACAACGTGTTGACTCTTCCTAAAAAAGATAGCTTCGAGCAGTTGCAGATTTAGGAATAGCGGGCGTTGGGGTATGGCAGACGCCCTCTTCTTAGGAACTCGACCCCCTGCCTACCCAAAGGTCTCCCTTTGGTTCACTTTTAGCTTAGTAATTGTTTGGCTGACCGGCCCCACAATTTTTCTACAGGAATCTTTGGAGCCGATATATACTAACTTTGACGGGGGAGCGCTCGCCGAAAAAAACCGCAACTTTAAGTCAAAGTTTTCAAAAAAGACTTAAAACGCTTTTTAGGCCTGTTTTTTTTTAAAATTCGCCTGCACCGCAAAAAATTTGGTCAAAATAGGGTCTTTATAATAATTTGGTCAACCTGAAAAGAAAAACGAAATTTTTTTGAATTTTTACTAAAAATGCGCCCCTCGCTCGAGAAAGTTCTAAATTCGCCCCAGGCTTCGAGAAAAATATATTGGATAGTTATTGGTCAAGTACAACAATTGGAAGATCATTGGATGTAATGTGTTCCAACTTACTCAATAGGAAGATAACGTAGCCTATTTTTCCTTTTGTGCTTTTCCATTTGTCTTTCTCCAAATAAACGAGTCTACATTAGTTGAGTTACGTACACAACGCCGAAAACAGCAAAGAGAACTCCCTATAGACTATTGACAATAAATTAACAGGAAATCATGATTTGCAAACTTAACGGATAGCAACAAACTTCACGAGGCTTAAAAGCACCGAAGCAGTTGATGGGTAATGAAAATACAGTGCTGATTCAATTATACGAAACGCATAAAACTAGAAAGTTAAAACAAGGTTTTATCAAATTGGATGGACTTTGGCTGGAAAACGATGAAAACAAATTTGCTTCAAATTTCAGCAGAAAAAATATGGTGAAATTGTGTTTTAAAATTACGGCCCAACAATTTACTCGAAAAGCTTTTGGCTTTTCTAAATTCATTTATCCGACAAAATAAAATTTCGGGCCAGAACCTCCACCTCAAAAATGGATCATTTCAGTTTATTTTAGTCATTCAAAAATTACGCCGAAACTACTAAATCTATCACTAACATAATTATCTCGAAGTGAGTCTCTTACATAACCGAATGGGTATTTTCTCCAAAACAATGTATATATTGAATTACTTTTGTTTGATAGACAAAAAAGATCGTTTTCACTATACAAAATACAATTTTTTGCGCAATTTTTTTGGTCAGTATGCCCTCGTTAAAGTTTGTTGGACTACGTAATAGACCTAAACGATTGGCTAAAAAAATCGGGTGATCCGTTTTTGTTTTAAAAGAACGGAAAATAATTTTGCAAAACAAATCGCACTATATTAATTCTGTTAAAACCCTAACAAAGTTTTGTTTTCATCATTTTCATTTAAAGTCCCATTTTGAGAATTACGTTTTCTTATTTTCTAGTTTTATGCGTTTTGTCCGGATAATTAAAATCAGCACTGTAATTTCAGGCTAGTAGATGTTCAATTTCGTTCAATTTCGGATAGATCCAGATGCCTCAAATCAACTTTTTATCAAAATTAACCAACTAAAAAACTTTCAATTTTTACTCTCGTGCGCACTCATTCAGTAGTGGTCTTTTTGAAAAATATGTAGGACAAGGTATCTGTTGAAGTTGAGTTCTGTCCATGCAGTATCGATAATCCTAGTTTGACTGACAAGACAAATCCTTGAATGACTGATGTAATTCAAAGTGTTTTACTGTCTCATCGATTCGCGTAAGAGTCGCCACGCATCAAAATCATGCAAAACACTTCTGAAGAAATAGCGGATTTTTTTTTCGAATTTTGAAGAAAGTGACCGAATATTTGTGCTCGTGGTTGTTTTTTTTTTGGAAAATTAAGTGGATTTGAAGGTTGTCATTTTGAGAACTATAACGTGCAATTTATTTTGTGCTTTTAACGCGTAAGCATCGAGATTTAACCCGTGTTAAAAATCGTTCCAAAATAAATTGAGGTATGTTTTTGATCTATTTACTACTTTGCTTTATGCAAATAATAACACTTTGTAATTTACATAACGTGTGAGGGAATGATTTAAAAAAGACATCATAAAAAATTTGAAATTTTCTCAGTTTTTTCAATTTCATCAATTATTTTAATTTAAATTACTCAATAGAAATTAAAACCCATTCGGAACATTGAGGGCTTTGCTTTCCATTGATAGTTGTGTTCTCAAAAGGGTCGCGCTCACCACTAGACTATCCTGGCTTTACTGTGAAACGCTCAGTAAAATACTAACAGGAATGTAAGAACGCTGTGATGTTTAGATGCTGAAAGCTTAACGCGCAATATTTACGCATGGAAAGTTATCCCGCACCACAAAATTGTTCCACGTTCAATTGAGGCAGGCTAATTGGTCTTACTACTTTCATACTTGAATAAGTTTTAATATTCAGCTTAAACTTCTTAGTTTGCAAAAATTCATTGATCAAAAATTATTCTAGACCAGTTTATGGACAGTCGGAACATTTAGGATTTGCCCAGATTCCAGCAGTTTTGTTAACTATGCGATAAGATTCCCTTAAGGTACTATCATAGCCACTAGTTGTTTCAACAGCATTCTATTTTTGTGAATCTGAAAGAAATCTTTTGTTTAAGAAGCTCGCAAGTTCTTTAAAATTTAAAAGTTGTGAAAAATTAATCCAACCCAATTTCAAATCTATTTTTTGTTTGGAACAAAATTTTTTGGATAAAAGGATATTCGAAAATACCAATTAGTTTATTTCTGACTTAATGTATTTTTGAAACTGATTAAGAAGTTTTACTTGAAGCATTGTATCAATAATTTTTGACCAAACTTTTGAAATTGCAACAAGATTATACAAGGCATTATTAAGAGTAAACTCAATGCTCCAACGCATTCTAATCAAATTATGACCTCGATTCTTTTTTCTGAAATTTGTATCATTTTTTTCGTTTTTCGATTTTTTTTTAAACTGAAAACAAAACAAAACACAAAGCAAATGCATTCCTGCACTTATTTAGATGCACTCAATTTATTTTCTTGACACAAATTTTAGTGTTCAATAAATTTCAACAAATTATAATTGAGCTAATATTTTCCCAACAAACTTATACCTCAAAAAAAAAACACAAACTGTTTTGATTAAACCCATGATTTTGTATAAAGAAAAAAATTGTGGTTGTTGAAAGTAAATAGAAATGCAATATAACCTGGCCCATCATCCAGTCTCATAAGAACTGTGGAACCTTATGTCAGAAAAAGACAAAACGTTGCTATAAGTCACCGACTGAATAACACGATGACATGACTAGGACAAAATCACTACAAATTTTTTAAAACTATAACAATTTAAAATCTAAAGCTATAAAAATGATTCTAAGTGACAAAACATTGATTTTAAAATTCTTAACTTGTTAATTTGTTGTTCTATAATAAATCAGTACTCAAAATTACAAAATACTTGAATACCTTATACGCGCTACAACCCGTATCTGGTGAACTTCTTTAGTCTGAATCGAAATTCATTTTTGCTATCATTACTAGTTTTATAGATTCTTGGTTTATTTTATGAAACTTAAGCCTGAAATAACTGTTTTTCCGAGCTGAAATAACCATGAGAAACAATTGGAGATCTGAGATATGGCCATAAGCCATCAGGTTAAATTATGCGTAATAAACATTTCGAACGAAAACCTAAATTTGCAATTTGTTGCTTTCTTCTGCAATTTTCAATTCATTTATTTTGTTTCAGTACGCCTAGTGTGACAACTTTTTTCAATTTTCATTAAAAATCCAAACCAATAAAATCTTTTTTAAGTGATAATAAGGAGTTCTTCTTGATAAGGAGAAAAAAATTGAGCAGTCACTTTTGAGTCTGGTTAATAGCTGACTGAAAATTTCAAATTGAATTTTTTACTGAAACTTCAGTCACCGATACTGCAATTAAAATTCACAAAAAGTTCCAAATAGCAACAATAACTTAAATAACGTCACAAATGTAGGTGTAAAATATCGTGAAAAAAAAGTTGGAAGATAAAACTTCAGTTTTTGTGCAATGAAGCTTACAAAAGAACAAAAAAGAGACCAGTTTTTCTCAACGATGAAGCTATTTTTTTAAGTTATTTTCGAATCCAAATCATTACCAAGAGCGCTATAATATGGTATGGCAATTGACCATTACTATTTTAAGTTGAGCTAGTCAGTCAAATTATGCAACTCTTGCATCAAGTTGCTGCGAAAAACGTTATTAAAACAAACGTTCCCAAAACAAATTAAGAAAATCGAGTATGTAGAACAAAGTAATGAAAACAAAATAAGTTTAGTGCGTTGTTTTTTCAATAGCTAACAAAAAGGAAAAACACTTTTTTTTTAAATTCTACTGATTGCAGAGGCACACTAGTATTACGATTTAATAGGTTGCAAAGTATGTTTAAGAACAGAGTTTTTGTTCCAACCACATAACATTATCTCCCGCCGAATTTTCACTTCCTCGAGTAGAGCCCTTAGTGGGACAAGAGTGCTATCAAGTTTAAACTCGTTCAGCCTGGAGCTGGACTCTTGGAAAAACGTAGAAAAGTTGTTACAAGGTCGAGAAAAAATTAATTTGAGTTTACAGATGTTTAGACTAATTTATACAGTTTGAATTGAGTCTAACATCTCAATTATCTCAAATATTTCTTCTCACAGTTTTAACTTTAAATTAGCTATTTTTACCTTTTCTTTAGCAGATTTTTGAAGTAATTTAATCGCTTTTTCTTAAACTTTCTTTGCAGATCAATTCAATGGACTAGTAATGACACCCTTATTGACACGTCGAAGCTATTTTTTCTGTCAATCAAATTCCCAGAAAATTACCGTTATCAAAGTTTCTTCAAATATTTAAAAAAACAAGCGTTAAACTTCAAATTGGTAGTAATTTTTTGCTCAGCACGGAATCTTTTTTGAGAAAATTTTATCATGGAAATCCAACTAAGAACTACAAAAATCCTCGTATCAACGCTAAGCCTTACAGCTTCCGACAGCCTTTTAGTTTCAAGGGAGTAATCTTTGCATAAAAAAAAATCTTTAAATTTTCAAAAACTTGCAATTTTTTGAAAACCATCCTCCACATACAATTTAAAGAACACAGTAAATTAGAGCTTGCCTCAATTCAATTTGAAACAATCTCGAAAACGGGTTGAATCTTCAATCACGAGTTAATAGCACGAAATGTATCGCGCATTGATGATCCAAAATTGGCCAAAATAGCAATCTCTAAATCCCAATTACTTTATGAAAATTCATCACAAGGAAATTTATTTTCAGTTTGAGCTCAGAAATACAAAATATTTTGGCTGATCTGAAAAATATTCCTCAAAAGTTGTTGGTAAAAAGTCGAAATTTATCTGGTGAAAAAGAAACTACCACGAGTATAAATATTCCGTCAATTTCTCCGAAAGACGGAACAATAGAATGGCTTAACGTTTTTTTGACGTATTTATTGAAGAAAACTGAATATTAGTTGGCTCGCCAATAGTGGTACAAGTATTTTCATAAACGTCATCATATTTGGTTTAAAAAATAACCACATTTAATTTTTTGGGATTAAACAATTTCAAAGATTGCCAAAAATTGTACTAAATGACGGTAAAATTTCTTATAATCATTATTAATAGTCTTCAAAAACTTTTTTTTCTAATTAATCATAATCAAATCGATAAAGACACAAAAAACGTGAACTTCTCGCAGCTTTTATATAGTAACTTGAGTTTTCCACTCAAAGAAAGTTCACTAGCAAATTTGTATTAAATCTCAAATTAAAAAATTGAAAATCAGCTGCTTAAAATCATTTCTCAGGAATGAATTTACGCACTGAAAAACTGACCAATTCCACATTTTTATTTTGGACAAAACATTAATAATCTTGCCACTCCAATTTTGCGATTGATTGTCTAGCTTCCAATCAATTTATTGGAACAAATAACTGGACTCAAATTAGTTTTTCGAAATCCATGCATACGTCTAATTTCAATCAATTTATTTTTTCCGCTTTTCGACACTAAAGTAACGGAATATTTGCGCTCGGGGTGGTTTTTTTTTCATACAAATTTCGTCTTTTTAACTAGCCATTTTTGACGGATTTTTTTCTGAATTTTTTCGAATTATTCGAAAACTATTGTCTTCCTGAGCTTAAATTTGAAAAGATATTTTACCTATGGCCATTTTTTGTAAAGTTATGGGTGTTTAAAGATTGCCATTTTAGCCAATTTGGGACAATTAACTCGCGATATATTTCGCGCTATTAACACGTAGGCGGAGATTAAATCCGTCCTAAAAGTTGTTCAAAATTGGTTCAAGAAAGCTTATATACCATAATTGATATGTTAATAGGAGTGAAATTTATCTTTTTGTACTTTATATGGCCTGTGGGGTGATGATTTTAAAAAAAAGTTCAAATTTTCAAAATTTCAAGTGATGATTTTCAAATTTCAGAAAAAAAATTTCATTTTGTTTTATTATATTTAGTTTTCTTTAGTTATTACTGTTCCATAAACCTCAAAAGGCAGTCGATACATTCAGGGCTTCGCCTTGATACGAGCAGTTTTGTTTTGATTTTAGTTGGTTTAACTTTGGACGAGTTTCAGAGTGCATGATTTAAAAATACAGTTTCACGTGCAAACGCAGTTTTTTTTTCATTAATGTTTTTCAAAATTCATTTCGACAGTTTTTTGAACTGAAGAGTATCATCAACAAAAAGTGATTAATTTATAACTTTGTCTGTCTCAAAAATTTAAAAAAAAACATGTATAATCAATTAGAATCGTATACAGTGTTATTTTTACAGAGCAAGCTGAAAGGGTTATATGAGGGGCGGATTTACGGATGCAGGAGAGGGGGTTTGAACTCTTTTTTGGTAATAATTTACGATATCCTTTTTCAGCCGACCGATTCTGGAATTTTCAAAATATATACTAATTTTGAAGGTGAGCGCGTCTCAAAAAAACGCAATTTTGTCTTTGTTTTTTGTCAAAACTATCCAAAAAAGCGGAAAAACGGTTTTTTGGTGTTTTAAGATAGCTCCAAAAATTAATTTAATCGAAATAAACTAAATCATCAATTTTTGAAAATACTTGAAATTCCGCCTCCAATCGAGAACATCCTGGATCCGCCCCTGGGTGAAAAAAAAATCCTTCTTCCGATAAAATGGGCATGTTTCCGATTTTGGAAATACGCTATTTACTTCTTCTTTCTTGAGTCTCTGACGCCTCTTTGTGGACTCGCATTTTGAATTTGGCCCCCATTAGTGGCGGAATTGTCTTGATTTTTTGGGATGAGGACAACCAGCAGGAACACTGCCACCAACGTACAGTGGAAGTACATCGATCTAAACAACAATTTTTAAAAATTAAAATAAAATTTAAGTAATGAATTCGTTTTCAAGAAGGGAATGTTTTGTTTGCAATTCAAAAAACTGTTCAACTACAAAACTTTAACTTGTTCCCTTGGCGTTTTTTGCTTCTACTAACTGGGTCCCATCCCCTAGAGCCCCCATAATACCAATAGAATTGACTGGGGACCATTTAGCCCCAATCAATTCTATTGCTTTTAGGGGCGCCCATGGGGATGAGACACAGTTAGTAGCTGCAGTACCCGTGAAAAAGCTCAAGTTTTGTAATTGAACCGGCTATTAAATTCTACGACAAGCAAGTTTTCAGAATTTCAACACACAAAACCATTTTCTAAAGCAATAAACTTGTCTTTGCTCAAACTAATTTTTACAAATTGGTGGAAAAATATCTACTCGTAGTTAATAGACCATGTAAGGCTCTAGCCGCAATGTCAGAAGAACTTTTTCTACGAAAAATCTAACTCTAACTTGCAAGAAATGAAAGATAATTTTTTCTCTTTTTCCTAGTTACAACTTTTACTTGTGATGATAATTCATGCGCTTTTCATAATAGAGCAGCACCCAGTAACCCCAATGAGTTCGTCAGCTGTCAACTCTGAGTTTCACTTTACTGTAAATATGTTGCTTGTAATTTTCTGAAGTATGTATTGTAATTTGTTACGATGAAAAATAAGTTATTCTTCTTTTTCTTTTTGAAATGTATCCAAAAAATCCCATCCTGCAACAATACCAAAACACCACATCTTGGAAGAACACCTAGAAACCAGTTAGCTGTATGTCGAGCGATGTCTAGTTTTTTTTATATCTGATTACCTATATATATATATAGTTTAATAGTGGTTTGATGACATGTTGCAATAAAATCAGTGAGAACTATTGAGCAATTACAAAACACTTATTTTTGCAAATACTTTCATTATTTTTGCGCAGCAAAATCTGAAAAGATTTTTGCAATAGTTTTGCCATGTTTTGCATAGCAAGAATACCAATATTTATAAGAAAAAATTGCTTAAAAATAAAATATAATCATCAAATAGAAGAAGATCTTAAATTTATTCCTCATTTGCATGGTTTAACGAATAACGAGATCTGCTCTATTGTTTTTTTGCTTGCATGTTGTTTAAAATTTGCATTTTACCAAAAAATCTGCTTGTCTTCCGCCACTGAAACTTTGTGGATAAAATCGATTTCATTGTTATTCTCTTTAAAGTTCAAAAATATTCGATTATACAAGGGAGCAATAAACTTCGGGAATTCGGGGGAGGGGGAATGCGTGCTGGTTCAGGTAATGTGGGGGCTGTAAACTAGGGGTGAACTCGCCTTGTATGTTAAATTGAGTGGGTTGTGTTTTATTCGAGCAGCCCGCGAGTAATACAAAAGATGTTGCAAGTTTTGCAAATACTTTCGGAAAAAATGTAGAATTTCTTATTCAATATTATCAATCATAATGAAATTTTAATGTATTGTAACCGGCTGTAATGGTTTTTATCTGATTGTATTTGTAAGGAAATTATCGACTTTAATTACAAACTTGCCACAAAAATGGATTAAAGTGACAACACTAGACAACACTTTTCAAATATTATAATTTTAAATCGATAAAACTCCGGTGCGGGTATAGTGGCAGATTGCGTAGCAAGTCTCAAAAATTTTTCCACAAGACGAGAGAATGATGTGAAATTAAAGAATAAAAAACACACTTTGAAATTATTTGAAAACAATTTAGAGCCTAAAAGTTACTGTTTGTGCAGTTTGTCAGGTTTTTAATTTATTCATTGACTTCACAAAAACAGAAATGAGAGTCAAAATTAGTGGTTATAACAAAAAAATTCTGCTGACAAACCACGAAAAAATAGTTTGAACTTTCTGAGAAAATACGCAATGTTTTTTTCTCGAGGTAGAGGGAAAGGGGTGTTGCTCACCAGAAAAAAATTCGACTTTCTATTTAGTAATTTTGACGGAATTTTTCAAATCAACTGAAAGCCGCCCTTAACACCCTGAAGTCAAAATTTCATTAGCTCATAGTGCGTTTCAAAATGAAGTGACCCGAGTTATTTGTTGTAACTGATACGTTACTAGACGCGAAGAACGTCACATTGTTCTTGGCGAAACTTTTAGTGTCAACATTTGAAAAAACCCAAAAGACCTCGAGCCTGTTTTTTAATATTAATGATGTTATAAACATTACCTTTATTTTTAAATAGAGCGCAGAAGATACTTAAAAACGTCGATTTATTTTTATATTTTTATAAAACATTGTTTTATATATTTTCATAATATTATTTTATAATTTTAAATAGAGTGCAGAAGATACTTAAAAACATCTATTTTTTTTATAATTGAAAATTGCGTCAGTTTTCATACTTTAAACACTCTTCTATGAACGTTAAAGGGCACTCAGAATATACGAAGCATCGAACTTCAAACGAGTCGTCATCGGTTCTTCAACCAGACTATGAGGGCCTATACTTTTTTTGGTAAACAGTCAGTCTAACAAAAAGTTCTGTACCACTAAAATAAAAAATGATGCATTTGTTAACAAATATGGCCTAGATTTGTCTCTTTCAATGACTTTACTCTTATTACTTCGTTTATATTTCGTCTATCTGATCCAGATTTCAAAAGTGTCCCATTGCAATGTCCTTTTTGAAAATGCTTCAAAATGACTCCTCACAACTGCGTTGAATACTCTGCAGTTTAATACTGTACTTTGTCATAGTTGCTTTGAAATTATTTTGGGAATTGGATTCCAGCTAAAATTTGAGGAGAGTATTGCAGTTTTCTTTCATTGTCTTTTATATTGCGGAAATTAGTGCAAACTTATAATTCTTGAGCACTCTAAAAGACTATTGTGCCCTAAGGGTTTTTTTGTTGAACACGAGTACCTGTAACTAATTAACGTTTTGTTTCTGATGAGAAATATTTAGTTTTCCACCTTAGTTTTGAGGCCAAAAAAAACTTTCCAAACTGGAAAAAAGTTTGGGAAGTAAAAAAAAACGATTTTGATCTGACTGACTTCGTTCAGATTCTTGACATTTTGAACAAAAAACTAGCAGTACAAAGAGAAAATTTAGATTCTTAGTGCAAAGTGTGTGATCCGTTGAGTCGTAGTGGATGCCAAAACAAAAACAAAAAAATCTGCACCCAACAATGGCTTTTATACTGGATAGACAATTTTTTGATAGCCTACCTATAACTTTGAACTTTTTTTTACAGAAGCTATCTATTTCTATCTAACTTTTCTCGATAAATCTAAATGATTTCCAATGGTTTATAATTTGGAAGCCAACAAGTTTGTCCTATATTAATTCAAATATTTTGTATCTTCACGTCTTGTGGCTGAACCATTGTCATTGGTTGTTCGAGTCTGTCCAGTAATCTGAAAGGTAATATCCGTTTTCGAAACTAGAAACCGATCATGTTTTTGTGATCTTTTCACTTTTGCAGTCTGATAGTAGAGCTTGCTTTCTTTTTAACAAAAGAAATGATCTCAACCTAAGAGAAAATCAAAAGTAAAACCTCGAAAAAATTAGTCTTGAGAGTGAACAAATTTTGCGATTTTTTTCCTAAAAAAAAACAAAAAAATAACCAAGATTTATATTAAAAAAAAACAAATTTCAAACCAGTGTTTCTCAACACTATGAAAATTTTTTCAAATTTTATGAAATCTCATTCGAAAAATGACTAAAAGGACCTTAATATGATAGATCACTCGACCCATTCTGACCTAAATTAGAACTGGGCCATTTTTTTTAAACTTCTAGAACTGAAAAAAAATCAAAAGAAGTAGTTTCTTTTTCAGCAGTTTAGTCATGCTCCACTGATAATATTTTGCGGGCAGATTTTTCAGTTGTTCCAAAATTAAACTAACCTGTAAATGACGAATATAGTCCACATCTGCAGTACATTGAATCCCATGATTGCATAGCTCATCGACAGCTGCAATCCCATCCACGTGACACAGTTGTACAAGTTCTTCTTGAACGAAGAAACTTGAAATTGAGGTCTGATACACTTGCGAATCTGAAAAGCAGAACTTGCTCAAGCTTATAGATACAGAGACATTGATTATTTGAATTTTTACTTCGTACTACATATTGAAAAAAAAATTAAAAGTGATCAAACATTAGATACATTTATTATATTGTGATTGTGATTACTTTCATCCAAAAACCTTTCTCGGAAGTCGATGGCTTCAGTTTACATAAAAGCATAAGGAGCATTTTTTTGATAATTTTACACAGAAAAATTGGATATTTGATTTAAGAGCAAAAGTCTGAATTAAAATTTATTAAAAGAAAACTTACTTTTCGGCCAGCTAGTACAAACAAATATGCGTGTATAAAGTGTATGTAGTAGCCCGGATGGAAACCGTGCCAAAGAGAAGAAAAAAAGAAGGTTAGGCCAATTGCTGCTTTTTTGTTTTGGATTCTGGAGTAGCAGATGAATCGCAGCCATTTGCTAGTCATGTTGTTCCACTCATCCAGCAACTCTTTCCAGTTGCTGCAACGCTGGATTAAATACATAATATCACAGTAATCATAAAAAGTATCATAATATCATCAAAGTAATAAAAAATAATCATATTGCAATCATAATAATAATAATTTTTAAAGTCAACATAAGCAGTATAACAATGTTAATAGAAGTAAAGTAATCAAATCTGATTTGTTTTTGATCTGAAGTTTATTCATTATAGATCAAAGAACTATCGAAAAATGGTTTTAATTGAATTCAATGTTTTTTATCGCAAAAGAAGATCATTCAAACTTCCGACTAAATAAGTTTTGAACACATTGAGGTAGTTCACAATATAAAATTATATCTCGATATGGTTTCCCTGATGGAGAGGTTTTTTTTGTGATTTGTCTGTTTCCAGCGCCTACCGACAAAAAATTGTTTTTTTTTTACCAATCAAATCTTCGCAACCCAACCTAATCTTTAACCTCGACCTAACTTAATCATTTTTTGACAGTTTCGGCCAAAATTAGTTATATTTTGAATGAAATGTGCTCGATTACATTGGAATAACCCGAAATATAATTAGATCGTCTCGGGCATGTTTGGACATATTTCGACCGTGCTGGAGGAGGTCTGTCTCAGTTTCCCCCGATTTTGTTTAAAAACTTTTTGACCGAGCTCGAGGTATAATTTTCGACCCGCTTGGAAGAAAAGTAATATGAATCAGCTAGAAAGTGTTAATCGCGATCAACAGTACAATTTCGCAGATGGGGGGTCTAGATTTTGGCTGAATAATAATTTTCCAATTCAAATCATTTTTGATTTTTGATGTCAAAGTTTCCATTGATGAAAATTATTTATATAATTAGATCTTAAAACATCGGTTGACCTCCAATCAACGAAAAGGCTGTTAATACAATTCCATGCAAAGTGTTAGTAAGAAAAAGCCAGTCAAACAGATCTACTAAATCTAAACTAAATTTTTTTAAAAAAATATTTTTTACAGAAACTAAAAAACTCAATTTAACGACAAAAAAGTTTGTGTAGACAGAAGTAATACCCAAAAGTTTTCTCCAGCCTAAAATTTCCAGGCAAATTTTTTTTAAATCGTTTTTCTAGTCTTTATTTTATCCTATGTGAGTTTTGTGACCAGCTTATCTCTTTGTTAATACCAAATTGATTTAAATTTCCAGACTGCTGCTGGATTCAGGATGCAGGTTTTCAGGATGATTCAGGGTTTCAGGATGCAAAACACTTGAGATAAATTGCTCAGGTTTCAGCATCAAGCCAATTAAATAGAAAAACGGGAAAAGGTGAAACTTTTGTTTTCTTACCTCAACCTTGGTCAGTTCTCCGTTTCGAACTAATTCCCACCTCTCTTTTCCATCTTCCGTCCAACCAGAGAAACCAAAACCAGCTGCATAGCAGATACTCTGGCCTAATTTCCAAGCGAAGTAGTATCGTAGCCTCAACACGAACCCGCATAGCACGCCGTACATTACTTTGAAAGCGAACGATGTTGCCGCGATGAACCGGTCGTCTGAAAGGAAAATATTAACAAGACTGCTCGTACAAGGGCAAAGGCCTGAATAATCTGACTGCCTTTTAAGGTCTATGAAGTAATTTCTGCTCAGAAAAATGGGTAAAACTTTCAGAGAAAAACCAATTTTTGGTTGTTTTAAATCATCCACTCCCACGCTTTATATATATATACACACACACACACACACACATATATATATATATATATATATATATATATATATATATATATATATATAATTATACAAAATTTATATACAATAATGATATATACAAAAATTCGAGAGCAAAAAAATCAACCGCATTAGTTGATCGTTATACTTTCCCTTATTTGCTGCCAAATCTGCGCGATTTTGATTGATTTTTCTGATCGACCTTGTATCTAAAATAACAATAAGTTCTAATTTTTCCTGTCATTGACTAAGGTAAGCTGATTTTCAAAAAAGTAGTTATTGAGGCATAGTGACTTTGATTCGGTTCTCTTTTAAAGTTTTTATTAGACTTTTAAAAAATCCTCGAGTGTAACTAGGTTTCATCAACAAAGATTGGAATTAAGGTGGCAAAACATCTCAAAATATCAAGCAATTTTCAGCAACTTTGGTTTTGAAAAAAAAAATCAAAAAAATTTAAAAAAATTATGGTTAGAGCGTACGGTTAGTTTTTTTTAGTTCAGTTTTCCCACTGAAGCTTATAATTCTTACTTTGTGTATATTTTGGAAGAAGAGATAGCGAGCGTAGAATACCCACCTTACCAAATTAGCGACACTTTGCTCCGTCTCTGTCCGCCCTTTTTTACTACGCTTCTTTCTACGCCTGTCAATCACTTATGCGTCAGTTATTTTACGCTGGCCTGGTAATAGTGATAAAACTCATAGTTGAAATTCGGAGAAACTAGGATTGAAGATTAGAGACTGAAATAGAATCTGAGGTTTGAACTGGTGATTGAGAAGATTGAGAAGATATATATGACATGACAATCTAAGCATCACAAAAGCACCAGTTAATAAATTACTGACTTATTAATTAGTATGCGATCACTTTTGGACTTTTAACGATTTCGTCTAATTCAACGACTTTTAGAAACAACTTTTTAAAACCTGATTTATATAGAACATTTTCTCGATTTGTTACATAGTTTTTTTGGTCAAATTCTGGTTTGCATCGACTATTTTCTATGTTTTTAAGGGCTATTTTTGAGCATAAATTTGATTGGTATCGTTCGGTTTCTTGATTTGCTTTATAGCTTTTACACAAAAATTGATTTAAGATGATCAGAATTTTACGATTTAGTTGCATATTTTGAGCTCAAAATTTAACTTATGTTGACTATTTTTTTGATTTGTTACATAGTTTTTTGCTTAAAGTCTGGCTAACTTCAAAATCAATTTGAACCATTTTTATCAACTTTTCTGATTCCATTTTCCTACGGGTTCGAGTAACAGTAAAATCAAAGTAAATCAATTCTTAACGACTATTTTGTATCCTCATTTTATACAGAATATGTACAGATTTTCTCAATCATCAAACAATAGAGAAAAGTTGGGAAAAAAATTTCAACCTTACTTTTCAATTGACTTTTCGTTTTGATGTTTGGCCTCAGAAAATTTTTGAGTATAAATGATATCTAAAATTTTTGCACAAAAAGTACCCTAGCAAAAAGCAAGAAACGGCTAATTGAAGAGAAAACAAAACGAATCTTAGAAGAATTTTAACCAAACAGTGTCATCTGAAACTCTATTTGGTTCCTTTTTATGGAAAGGTTTGTGCAATACATTGATAGCAAATTGGCAAAACGTTGATTGTTATTTCCTTGCAGTGGCCAGACCTAAATCATTTTGGTCAGATTCTTATGGATTTTAGTATTCATCAAAATCCATCCAAGTCGATTCAAATGGATGTTTTGGGCACTTTAATTGATTTTAAGTCTTCTGGACCACCAATTTCCGGATCATTAATAGTTTTTAAATCCATAATAGCTCTTAAAAATCATTTGTAATGAACTTATTTGCTGCATAGTATCTAGTTCAGTGCGGATAGCAAGAGCTCTGAACCAAGTCAAGCGGATTAATTGGTGTTCCCTTGCTGAAAAAAAATGGATTGCAATCAATTTTATACAGATAATGTAGCAAAGACTCGAAAAATCGATTTGAATTGACTTGAAATCGATTTAATTTGATACCAACTTATTGAACAAAAATTAATTTCAATCGATTCTAAATCAATTGAAATCCTTTTTTCTCATTTTTTTTTCGTTTTCCTACGGGTTTGAGTAACCAAAAAAAAACATTTCAAATCGATTTTAACGATGTTTTGTGTGCTCATCTTTTACAGACTACATACAGTTTATATACAGATTTTCTAAACTATCAAACTGTAGAAAATAGTGGAAATAAAGTTTTAACCATGCTTTTCAAATGACTTTTCGTTTTGATGTTTGGCCTAAAAATATACTTTCTGCACCAGAAGGATAAATAAGTTTTATGCACCAAAATAATTTTTTCTGATTAAAATTTTCATTTTTATGTTGTTTGCCTACCAAAGGTGAGCCTAAAGTCGAGTTCTAAATCGATTTACGTATTTAAAAAGGCTATCATAAATTGATTTGTTTACAGTATATTATCTCAATAAAAACCGCTAAGCTTCAGCTAAGTAAATTTTATTGCGTTCTCAACTTGAACTGCGGACAGAATTTTATTAAAATGTTACTTATTAAAAAGTTATTTTATTAAAAAGTTACTCAAAAATAAAAAAAGTTACTTAGATTTTACATGTCAAATATTTTATTTTTTTTTCTCTAGAACGTGTGCCTGTTTTATTTTTGTTCATCTTTGTGAAATCACTTGCTGCCTTTAAATCTTCGTAGACCTGCAGGCACTTTTGCAAAGTTCTGTAATCTGCATTTCTCAATTTAAGCTGTAACAGTATAAAATCTATCGACTACTTTGTTCGGGCCAACTCGCAGGGTAATTTTCATAAAACTTTTTAACCGACAAAATTCATTAGAATTACAGCTGCTGGAATTTATTATTTATAATCATTACCAACGCTGGTTCAGTTTTTAAACAGGGCTTTCCTTTAAAGATTTTCATCATTGATTTAGTGCTTGATTTCGTACGTTTAGTTTCTTTTATTTTGATTGGCCTCGGGCATTTACCCAAAGCTGTGAAAAAAAGTTCATAAGCTGATGGGGCATGCGCGAATCTAGGATTATTTTGAAGGGGGTCGGGTTTTCAAACAAACTCAGAAATCACTATAAAGACCCCATTTTGGCCAAAATTTTTGCGATGCAGGCAAATGTTTGAAAAAAAAGCGTTTTAGGCATTTTTTAGAATTTTGATTTTAAAAAAATCGCGTTTTTGGACAAGCTTTTCCCCATCAAAGTTAGAATATATTGTCGCCGATGTCAACTTTAGAAAAAATTTGGGGTCCGTCAGCCAAAAATGGAGATCTCAAAAGAGAACTAAATCGGCTGGTTCGATGGGGTCATATTATAAGTCTTAAAGGTCATATTAGGTCTATAGTTATAAAAGAAAGCTTGCTTTCAATATGTTATCGGAGCTCAGATACGGTAGATGCCATCAAACAGCACACAATTGAATAATTTTTAGAACAAAATGAATTTGGCCAATTGGATCAAAGTTGAAAAGGTCAATTTTCTGCAACTGTTGGCAGAAAAGATGAAAGACAATAAAATCTTCGAGACGTTGAAAATTCACCCAGAAGCAAACACACACACAGGTTGTGAAAAAGTTTTGACGGGTGATAAAAGCTTCAACGACTGTGTCAAGTGTGAGGTGGTTGTGAAAGTGTTCTTAAATTATGTTGAAAATGCCGTCGAGAAGTATGCCCGTACCCAGGGAATTTCCTGTGCAAGATCTGATATTCTTTATTTCTTACAGAAGTTGATTCCCAGATCTGAAATTCTTTATTTCTTCCAGGACTTGGTTCCCAGATCTGAAAAACTTTATTTCAGATCTTGACAAGAATCTGAAATTTGGATCTGAAATAGAAACGTTCAGATCTGAAATAACCTTGAGAAAAAAGTTTCAGATCTGTAATTAGATATGAGAAACCCTTTGTTCAATTACATTTTATGCATTTCGAGCAAACAATTGAGATTTTACTTTTTGATGTTTCTGCAATACCCAACTATGTTCAGATTAACAAGCGGTAAAGAAATTTGTTCCGAATAACTTCACAAACATTTTTTTTGAACTAAATTTCTTGTTCAACTTTGTGAAAAAGTTTTCAAAAACTGTTCGAAGGCCTATCAAATTTTTGTTTGCTCAATGTGTGCTTATCCAATGTTTGTCCAATGCGTTTCATGATTGGGTAAACATATTTCGGCAATCTCGCCTTTGAAACTTTGCTGAGTACTTGCTAGTAGCTAGTCTTAATCATTACCGCACTCAGTATGAAGCAAAATTAATGGATTATATTACAAATGTATTTGTGCTTTTATCGAAACTATAATTAAATACAAGCGCCAAATTTAATTGTTGAAAAAATTTATAATCAATTATAATGATAAGATTTTTCGGGACTTATTTTAAATAAAATCAATTAAAATTGGTTAAAGTTTTTCGAAAATCACTTATAATCTCTTATAATCTCTTATAATCTCTTGTAGTCTCGTATAATCTATTATAACTTAAAATAAAAGATTATAAGCTTTTTTTTTCGGTCACAAATCTCTGATGGAGATGTCTTGTCGCTCTTTGGTTCATCTGAACACAAGCTCTTACCACGAAACAAAAGTTTGATAGAGATCCGTTCATATCAGTTGAAAGAATCAAGCGGTAGGTGGAATATAATTTTTGAATATAAATCATGAAACTAAAGCAGTATGCTAATTTTTTGGTGGTCAAAAAAGCTTAAAATGTACATCATGAAACAAATAAAACCAAGAAGAAATGAAAAAACAAAAACGTTATAAGCTTGAATTGATTTGAAAGATGTTAAAACAATTTTACCATTTTTGACTTAAGCCGACGTCTACGAAAAGCATAAAACATAGGTAACTAATGCTCAAGCTCAAAGATAAAATGGGCAAACAAAAAAGATTATAAGCAATTATCGTAGATTATACTGGATTTTTTCTGCAAAACAAATGAATTAGAAACTCGGATAAAAATAATCGATAATAAGCGATTATCATGTATTTTCTCAATTTTTGTAATACCGATACTAAACAAAATTTCAGATCTGAGATTTAGATCTGAATTAGACCAATCCAAATCTGACTTAGAACGTTTAGTAGGTGCGGGTGTGTCATTTGTGAACAAAGATAGTTATAGACAGAATAGTGATAGAAAGATAGATAGAATGAAGATAGTGATAGACAGATCTGAAATAACCTTGAGAAAAACAAATTTCAGATCTGTAATTAGATCTGAGAAACCCTTTGTTCAATTATATTTGATGCATTTCGAGCAAACAATTGAGTTTTTACTTTTTGATGTTTCTGCAATACACAACTATGTTAATTAACTAGCGGTAAAGAAATTTGTTCCGAATAACTTCACAAACATTTTTTTTGAACAAAATTTCTTGTTCAACTTTGTGAAAAAGTTTCAAAACTGTTCGAAGGCCTATAAAATTTTTGTTTGCTCAAGGTGTGCTTGTCCAATGTTTGTCCAATGCGTGTCAGGATTGGGTAAACAAATTTCGGCAATCTCGCTTTTGAGACTTTGCTGAGTAATTGCTAGTAGCTAGTCTTAATCATTAGCGCACTCAGTATAAAGCTAAAATAATGGATTATATTGCAAAAATAATTGTGCTTTTATCAAAACTATAATTAAATACAAGCGCCAAATTTAAATGTTTAAAAAATTTGTAATCCATTTTAATGATAAGATTTTTATTAATTAAAATCAATTATAATTGATCAAACTTTTCGCAAAATGTCTTACAATCTCTTGTAATCTCTAACAATCTCTGGTAGTCTCTTATAATCTGTTATAAATTAATATAATAGATTATAAGGTCTTTTTTTTGTCAAACATCTCTGAGAGAGATGTCCTGTCACTCTTTGGTTCATCTGAACACAAACTTTTACCACGAAACAAAAGTTTGTTATAGATCCGTTCATAATAGTTGAAAGAATCCCGCGGTAGGTGGAATAACATTTTTGATTATTAATCATGAAACTAAAGCAGTATGCAGATTTTTTGGTGGTCAAAAAAACTTAAAATGTACATCATGAAACAAATATAATCAAGAAGAAAAGAAAAAACAAAAATGTTATAAGCTTGAATTGTTTTGAAACTTGTTAAAACAATTTTACCAATTTTTACTTAAGCCAACGTCAACGAAAAGCATAAAAAATAAGTAATTAATGCGCAAGGTCCAATATAAAATGGGCACAGAAAAAGGATTATAAGCAGTTATCGTAGGTTCTAATGGATCTTTTCTGCAAAACAAATGAACTAGAAAATCGGATAAAAATAATCGATTATAAGCGATTATTATGTATTTTAGATGATTACATTTAATTTCAAAAAGAGATTATAAACGATTATTAATGGTGTAAAAACCATTTTTTTCTCAATTTGGTAAGAGTGATACTAAACAAAATTTCAGATCTGAGATTTAGGTCTGAATTAGACCAATTCAAATCTGACTTAGAACGTTTACTAGGTGCGGGTGTGTCATTTGTGAACAAAGATAGTGAAAGACAGAATAGTGATAGAAAGATAGATAGAATGAAGATAGTGATAGACAGATCTGAAATAACGCTGAGAAAAAAATTCAGATCTGTAATTAGATCTGAGAAACCCTTTGTTCATTTATATTTTATGCATTTCGAGCAAACAATCGAGTTTTTACTTTTTGCTGTTTCTGCAATACCCAACTATGTTTAGATTAACTAGCGGTAAAGAAATTTGTTCCGAATAATTTCACGAACATTTTTTTTAAAATCTGAAATACCGCAATCTGAAATAACCTTGAGAAAAAAAAAATTCAGATCTGTAATTAGATCTGAGAAACCCTTTGTTCATTTATATTTTATGCATTTCAAGCAAACAATCGAGTTTTTACTTTTTGCTGTTTCTGCAATACCCAACTATGTTTAGATTAACTAGCGGTAAAGAAATTTGTTCCGAATAACTTCACAAACATTTTTTTTTGAACTAAATTTCTCGTTCAACTTTGTGAAAAAGTTTTCAAAAACTGTTCGAAGGCCTATCAAATTTTTGTTTGCTCAATGTGTGCTTATCCAATGTTTGTCCAATGCGTGTAATGATTGGGTAAACATATTTCGGCAATCTCGCCTTTGAGACTTTGCTGAGTACTTGCTAGTAGCTAGTCTTAATCATTACCGCACTCAGTATGAAGCAAAATAATGGATTTTATTACAAATATAATTGTGCTTTCATCAAAACTATAATTTAATACAAGCGCCAAATTTAAATGTTTAAAAAATTTATAATCCATAATAATGATAAGATTTTTCGTGACTTTTATTAAATAAAATCAATTATAATTGATAAAACTTTTCCGAAAATATTTTATAATCTCTTATAAGTTCTTATATTTTCTTGTAGTCTCGTATAACCTATTATAATTTAATATAATAGAATATAAGGTTTTTTTTCTGTCAAAAATCTCTGAGAGAGATGTCGTGTCACTCTTTGGTTCACCTGAACACAAACTCTTACCACAAAACAAAAGTTTGATAGAGATCCCTTCATATTAGGTGAAAGAATCCCGCGGTAGATGGAATATAATTTGTGAATATAAATCATGAAACTAAAGCAGTATGCTGATTTTTTGGTGGTCAAAAAAAAATAAAATGTACATCATGAAACAAATATAATCAAGAAGAAATGAAAAAACAAAAACGTTATGAGCTTGAATTGATTTGAAACTTATTAAAACAATTTTACCTCTTTTTACTTAAGCCAACGTCTACAAAAAGCATAAAGTATAAGTAATTAATGCGCAAGGTCGAAGATAAAATGGGCAAACAAAAAGGATTATAAGCAATTATCGTAGATTATAATGGATCTTATAAGAAACTCTTATAAATTAGAAACTCGGATGAAAATAATCGATTATAAGCGATTATCATGTATTTTAATTGATTATATTTAATTTCAAAAAAAGATTATAATCGATATTTAATTGTGTAAAATCCATTTGTTTCTCAATTTTTGTAAGACTGATACTAAACAAAATTTCAGATCTGAAATTTAGATCTGCATTAGACCAACTCAAATCTGACTTAGAACGTTTACTAGGTGCGGGTGTGTCATTTGTGAACAAAGATAGTGATAAACAGAATGTTCTAGAAGATCGCAAGCTAATCAACTCGATCTACGTGGACGATTCCAATGATGCAATATATACAGGAAATGGTTTTACCTTCAAAATGGGTCTTTCTCCAGCTTTTGAGAAAAGAGAGAATGGACTACTAGAAGTTATTTTCAAATAGAACTGGAGCACTTTTTTAGAGATAGCCGCAGGGGCGGACCTAGGATTTTCTCGAGGGTGGCGGGTTTTCAAAAAAAATTTGGAAAACTTTGACGACCTTTTTTTTAGGTTGACCAAATTGATTTTCCGAGCTAAAAAAGACGCTGTTTTGGGCCAAATGTTGTGTGCGCAGGAAAATGTTTGAAAAAACAAGCCAAAAGGGCACTTTTGGGCATTTTTTGGCAAAATTTGCCAGAAAATCGCGTTTTTTTTGGTGCGCGCTCCCCCTCAAATTTAGTATATATTGGCGCCAATGGCGCCTCTAGAAAAATTCTAGGGTCGGTTGGCCAAAAATGGATTTCTTAAAAAGTATCAAAGGGGGGACATTTGGGTCGGCAGGGGGTCGGATAAAAGAATTATTGATATAGATCAGGTTGAAATTCCTTTAACGCAGAACTTCAAAAGCTTAGGGGATTTCTTATCCAATGTATTTAACAATCTTGCTTTATGATTAAAAACAATTTATTCCGTTGACAAGAAAAAAAACGATATTTTAAAAGCAGGCTATTTAAATGGCAACCCTAGCCATCTGACTAATGACACAGTTTTTATATTTCCAGTGAGCTCTTGAGAGATCTCAAGAAAAATTAGTTTTAGTTAGTGGGGATCTATTGAAAACGACCGCCATTTCGAGACTAATTTGACCCGCGCTCATTGCTTGCGGCTTAGGCATTGGCACGCAGTCCAAATAAAAGTGAAAACCTTTCGAAGTTGAAAACCTTTCTAGAAAATCTTTCTAAGTTGAATAGCTTTTGTCGATTCATAGCTTCAATCGAACCATTTTTTTTGCTGATTAATTGTTGCTACTCATAAAAGACCAAGTTAACATTCTCCCCTCCCCCCAGGTCGTTTAGAGGGAGGATGTTAACTTGGTTTTGAGTTCGAAACTTCAGTTTTAATTGAAATTATATTAGATAAATCATATTTTACCTGCCATAAATCTCAGCTGGAAATAAGGCGCCAACATCCGTAACGCGTACCCATAAGCCAGTGCCAGAGGAAGATGCGTCAGGACCATCCACTGAAAGACACAGTTGGTAAACTGGGATCTCGTTATTGATTTTCCCAGTTGCGAAAGGGGTGCGGGGTTCAGTGCAAATTTCCTATTGCCTTAAGCCTTGATTGGGTGTTCCCTATATTTGCGAGCCCCCCCTCCCCCCTCAGCCTAGTAGAAAATATTTGGAGCCCCACCACGCTGTGATTATTTTACTATGGGGGCTACATATTTGCTTTCACCAATGAATTATGCTTTTATTGGTGAAGAAAAATTTTACTAGGCAGCATAAATTGGGGCATAAAGGCCAGGAATCCCAAAAAAAATAATTACTGTTCCGACTTTCGTAACGAAATTAACGGAATATTTGTGCTCGGGTGGGTTTTTTTCTTCTGAAAACTTTTTAACCAGCCTACTTTGACAGAATTTTTAATATCATTCAAAAGTAATTTTGTTGTCTTGAGCTTAAATTTGAAAAGATATTTCACCTGTGATTATTTTTCGTGAAGTTATGGGGGTTTAAAGGTTACCATTTTGGCCGATTTGGGACAATTAACGCGCGATATATTTCGCGCTATTAACGCGTTTGCAGAGATTCAATCCTTGTTAAAAATTGTTCCATATTGGCTCAAGGAAGCTTGTATGCCATAATTGATTTATTAAAAGGAGCGAAATTCATTATTTTGCTTTTGATATGGCGTGTGGGGGGATATTTTTCAAAAAAATCTCAAATTTTTTTTAAAATTTGCATTTAAAATTTTCATGTTATTTCTGCTCCATAGATCTTAAAAGGCAGTCGGAACAATCAGGGCTTCGTCCTGATACGAGCAATCTTGTTTCAATACACTTGCAGTTGAAAAATATGTTTTTGTATTTTTTCAAACCTTTCAATGAATAATTTTTATTTTGCAAGGCAAAAAATAAATAAGTGCAATTATTGCTAAAATGGGAAAATATATATGTATTTTTATGCGAAACTTTAATTGAGAGTTGAGTTAACAGTATTAGGACCCCAGAATTTCTTATTGAGTAATAGAAAACAGTTTGATATTTGAAATTTTAATTACTTTACCAGCTACATGTACAATGCCAAAAGCAATATAGTATGTCTGGAGGGAGATCCTAAAGAGCAGTACTGCTCATCGAGTAGCATATCCTGAGGAGTAAAGAGAAGACAGCCAGCATTAAATCAACAAACAAAATTAATTTAAGGGCTGAAATTAAAAAACAGTTTATAGAGGTCCTGATTGTCTTTTAGGTAAATTTCTCTTCGAAATGATGGGGCGTTTGTTCTCAATGTTTGGGGCCTAACAAGAAGTTTTGCTTGGCTAAAAAGATGTTCAACACAGTTAGAAGTAGGGGGATACCAGCTCAAGTTCCCATATGTATATGCTAGCAATTGGTCTGATGACGTTTCTGTTTGTTTCAATTTCTGTAATTTCTCTTCTCAAATGTCAAATGTTCCAAATCCGACTCTGGTGTCAAGTAATGTTGCATTTCAAGATACCGCACCACAAATCCATCAAATAGAAGTCTAACATCAGAAATAGTCAATATATCTTCCTGTAGCTTCAAGGTAACCGATAGAATTTTTTTAAGGTCATCATTCAATGACTTGATAACAACTATCTCCCTAGCAGATTGGAAAAACTACACCCTTTCTTCATTTCTCATTCCGTACCGCAAAAGTGTTTCCATCTTGTTGCAGAAGTTTTGTGAAATACTGATTAACCGCTTTCGAATGAGGCGTTTTAGTTGTGAGAGCCATTACGTGTATAAAATTAAACTTAGCACACAGTTAAGTTGTTCTGCCTCGGCATCATTAAGTTATTCTGTCAATGACGTAATACAGTGCGGCCAGAAACCCATTCCCTCGAAAAAAAAAGCAAGCTGGCCGATGCGAGGCTGGTCGCACTGTGTTACGTCATTCTTTTGGAAAGATTCCGCATTCTGCGTTGCAATAATTGTGGCTTTAAAATGAATCCTTTTTATTACAAGGGTTGAAAAATAAATATTTCATTTTTTAGGACAAAAAATAAATATATATTTTTTTGTATTTATTGCAACAACTGCTGCAATTTAAATTATGTTTTTTGGCATCCATGTAAAAGGCGTATAAAGTTTCCTAGTTTGCATTGGAGGGAATCATTGACCTTTCTCGGACAGTTATTGATTAAATGGTTCTTCTGTTCTTTGTCAAGTTCTTAAAAAAACAGGCCGAAAAATAAAACATTATTAAGTACTTTTTGGAAAATTTTGACAAAAAAAATTGATTTTTTTTGGCACGCGTTCCCCCCTCAAAGTGAGTATAATTTGACGCCCACGGTGCCTTTAGAAAATTTTTAGTTTCCGTTAACAAATATGGATATCTCAAAATAGTACTAAGTGAGGCCCCTTTGGGTCGGCAGAGGGTGGAATCCCTGAGGTAAGGGGGCATCCCCCCGCCCCTTCCCCTAAACCTGCCTCTGCACTAATTTATCTTCCCCTAAATCTGCCCCGGCTTTAATTCAAGATTGGTCAGAAGTTGTTAAAAAGATGATTTGCATACTATTTTTTGAAATTTGTTAATTTGGTTGCTAAGGATTCCCCCACTGGAGTTTCATGGAAAATAGTCGATTATAATTGAATATATTGTCAAAAAACGTAGCCCATATAATCGGTTTTCATGACCCATGCAACCATGAAAGCGGATTTTTAGGGGATTATGATCGATTATTTTCATTATTTAAAAACCCATTATAATCAATTATCTTGGCAATGTAATCGAATTTTTAGGCCACAAAAACCTGCAGAAAAATGTTTACAGCTAATTACACACTAGAAACATTTGGATGAAAAATTTGCAAAATTTTATCAAAATGACACCAAATTGTTAAAAAATCAACGTTCTGCAAATTTAAAACCGAAAAAAAACATGTTCATCCCTAAAATAACTCGAATGTGCATCCCTAAAAATTTGTCCCCCCTACCCCACCGCCTCCCCCCACTCCAAGATTACCAGCCCACCCCTTTTTTATTGCTCCACATTTTATCCTTACCACCTCCCCTACTTCTACCACCTCCCCTACTTCTACCACCTACCCGACCACCACCGCCTCATCTACACCCACACGCCCCCAGGTTTCGACACCCCCGCTACTCCCAAACCAGTCACACCCCGCCACTCCAAAACCCCCGCCACTCCAAAACCCCCACCACTCCCCCCACCGGATGGATAAACATTCCAGTTACCTGCAACAGCCCCCACAACACTCAGTGACGCCTAAGCAGAGGGTGGGACGAGGTGCAGTGGGCGGGGGGATAGTAGGCGAATGGTAACCTTTTTTACCGTGGAATTGTAAAAAAAATATAACAGTTAAATAAAATGTTAAACTGCCAAATTGAAAAAGTAGAGAAATTTGAATGTATAAAATCTCATATGAAAAACTTAAGTTTATGAATGTAATCCATAGGAACTGCACTATTCAGGAAACGCGATAACTTGCAAAATTTGCAAATTCTTCAATAACTTCTCAAAAAATCCATTATAATCGATTATAATCGATTCTAATGTATTAAATTGAAATTAAAGTACTATGATTATAATGAATTTTTAATGGATTATTATCGATTATTTTTATTTATAATGGGTTCTTTTGATATAAAAAGTATTAGGATTATAATAATCCATTTTTAATTAAACTCTTGTAATTTTTTGGATACCGACTAAAAATGGCAACATCTAAAAACGATTACTATTCATGAAACTCCAGTGCGGGTTGAGCTCTACTCGATGATCTTAAAAAATTCTGCTTGTTCCAAAAGAACAATTTAGGACCAAAGAACATTTTTTGGGAAATGGAGTGAAATGCAATTTACTAAATTAGGGAACCCGGGTAATTTTTTAAGCTGTTTTGCTTTTTAATTGTAAAATATAGTGTTTTTTTTTGGTTTTGTCAATTTGCATTTTGAATTTTGCAGCTCGCTTTTAAACGCGTTTTCCAAATTAAAACAGATAGATTCCAGTTTTCTAGAGTGGATTTAATTTTCTGAATTGTGAAAGCGAATCAGGTTTTTTTACAGTTTCTGCAAAAAACAACCGAGTTTTTGGTGCTCAAGAAATTTTCAGGTGATATTCGCTAAGCTGTGATATTCGAACTGTGAAAAAATTACTAGGGTTAGTTGAATTTTCAAATTAATTGGAGTCGATATCTTTTCGATCAAAAGTGAAATTTATAAACCTTAAAAATAAGCATTTTGGTTTCTGAACCAGTTTTCATCAATTTAACACTTAAGTATATTGTCAAATTTCTAAAAGCGATTAGCTCGGGATTCGAACTAAATTTCCCATAGAGAAAACCTAAAAAATCAATGAGATATAACCAAAAACAAAACAATTTTGTAGTAACGTGTCAAAAAAACTTATATGTCAAAAAATTAAACTTTTTTTGGCATTTTTTAAATGAAAAGCGAACGAAAGTGTTTTCAAACAAGTTGCGAACCAATTCTTGAGGGTTAATAATTGTGATATTGTCTTCGCTGCTGTTAAGTTCTGTCACAAGAAAATATCTGATTAAAGTTCAAATTGTCGATGCAAATGCGGAAATACGGTATGATTAGAACCCGACAGTCCACTGCTTCTTCTTTGCCTTCTTTCGACAGAACTTTACCAAGAACTAACTAAATCTTAAATCTGCTCCTTTCTGGCCAATTATTGCGCTCAAAAATACAGCCAGACCATTGACTTGTATATCCAATTTAAAACAACTCAAAATGGAAAAGATTTCACTCACATTTGGAGATGGGTATTTTTCCTCTTCGACTTCCTGATTGTCAGACTAAAATAGATAGAAAAACTTCATGAAATTTTTCATGGACTGTGAGTTGTCTCGATTTTTTTCTAGATAAAACTTCGAAAAATGAGCTGAATTACGGGCAAAATTAATCTAAATTCTGTTGTTTGTGACAATAAACTAATCAAAAAGTGTCTCAATGAAACTTGACATCTACTGAACTGATATAATCAAATTACCTAAAGAGACTTTGAATGTTCAGCATTAGATTTAGTATGCATTGGGATCGTCTCATATAAAAAACACTGTCTTTGTACATATATTAGTAAGTGCACTCTCTTATTTTTGCACTACAGCTTAAAAAAATTGAACATTGATAGCGTTTCTATTTCTTTTGCGTTGCCAAGTGTTACAATTAAAATTGGTAGCTCCCAGTGAATTTGAAACTAAAAAGCATGCGCGTAACGATACGTCAGACTATGATTTCGTTTCTCAACAAGGATTTATGATGAACAACACTTACTGTTATCATTTGTTCTCTGAAAGGTACCAAATGTTTTCCTTTTATGAAGTTGTCATATTCTTTGAAGGAGTATCCTGGAATTGTTTGGTAGCCGAGGAACCCCAAAAGATAACTGATATGAGCGAGGAACGAAGGAAACTCAGTCACTCTCGCCTTCTTGTGGCTTTCTTCCGACAATTCTGACTCCGGAAGCTGACCTTTAAAAGTTTAGAGGAAAATTTTATTGATAAAATCATAATGGCGTACCGAGGGAAAGGGCGGGGAGATGATGTGATGTTACCATCCCTTTCAATTAAAGCCGCCAAATTTTTTCAGGGGTTTCACTTTTAGTGCAAATTTACGACGGCCACTTTAGATAGCATATCCTGAAATTGGTTGACAATTCTATCGAGCAAATGCCTCCTATCAAAAATTAGAAAACACTTCGAGAAAACAAAAAAAAAACGTCAAATTAAAACTTTATTACCTGCACCATTAGACAATTGCAAATATCAATCGGAAATTTAGAAAACGCCAAACCTCCGAAAACTCCGATCAGAGGGAAGTAAACCGACAAAAATTAGCAGACAGACGATAGTGTAAAATAGACAAAAAAGTTTTAGTTTGTAAAAAAAAAACAGTTCCTGTCTGGAATCATACTCGACGCTTTATCTTCTCAAACAATGCTGTTACCACTGTGACAAATACCCAGACTTTGCAGGCCTATCTTTGAAATTTTATTTATAATTATCGCTATATCCAAAATAAACTAAGAAGCAATTAAACCAAAAAAAATATTGTTAAAAAAAATGATCAAAAAGTTTGAGAACTGCTCAAAAACTCATCATTCAATTTTCCTCGATTGCCAACAAACGATGGAAACAATA